ATATTCAAAGTGTCTAGTTGTATTCCAAATATCAAGGTTCTCCATAAAATAGGTCATATCGTGAAAACACGGCAAAAAAAAGTTGAAGTTACAAAAAATCGGTAATAGCAAATATGCAATAAAAACCATTTGTGATATATCAATGGAGAGATCTCGAAGAGCTCTATAAGAATTTGAAAAAAATAACCCTCTAAGTTAATTAGGTCACGTGTAAGAGCAGCCCAAAGTTGCGAATTTGGCTGTTTTTGGACAGCTATAAAACCGGAAGTAGGCGTCGAAGGTCAAATGTCAAAGCATCATCTGACAGCCAAGGACATTGACCTTTGTCCTATCAAAGGTCAACGTCATGAGAGGTCAAGGTCACAAGAAATAAGCTTTCAAACTTTGAAAAAATTCAACCGGAAGTTGCAAAAATGCAAAAGCAAAATTCAAAAATCGGCTTGCAACTTTTTGTAGACATTAGACAACAGATTACATCGGCACCAAAATTACACAGATTTAGTTTATTCCTAAGGACTTATTTCGATTTTAAGAAAAGTAAGAAAATCAAGATGGCGGCCAAAGTTTCACTTCCGGTCTGAATTTTTTTTTGTATTAGCATTTACTTACGACCTGCATAAATTCCGTTGGCCAATTTAATATACACCGAAAGCTATTCGACCGGAAGTAGATTGTACTTTCAATTGATTCCAACTTTAAACCGGAAGTGGCGTCAAAAGTCTGACTGTATCATATCATTTACTTTAGTGATGTCTCTTTGCATTTTAAATTTCAGATCAATCGATGCAAAAAAAAAAAAGTTGCAAAAAAATTGCAAAATTCAATCGAAAAAGGTTTGCGACAAATTTTCGAATTTCGTAATTTTTTAAATGCTATCTGATCAGAAATTCCAGCCAGATTTTAAAACTGAAAACCCGAAGAAAATCGATGCAAAAATGCGCCTTCTAGAGCCAATTTACCAGTTTTTGCATATGTTGCACTGTGGCACTTACGGTTTTGCAAAAATGTTCCAATTTATATTCATTTTAAACGTTGCCACTGCAGAAGGTTTACACATGTAGAAATGTTGATGTAGCTATTGAAGCCTAGGCTGTGTGCCCTGTGGAAATTTCGAAAAAAAAAAAAAAAAAAAAAAAAGAATTGACAATATGATAACAAACACTATTATTTAAGTCAAATAACATATAAATGTTTTAATGCAACTCATTTAGAGTTGATTGTAAGTGGCAGGTAATTGTCACTAAAATTTATTGACTTTTAAACTAACCTGTCTCACAACGGTCTAAGCCCAGATCATGTTCCCCATTGGTGAGTGAACAATCCAACGCTTGTCAAGGTACAGTTCTAAATGATTTATATAAATATGCTCTTTTTATATGTAATATGTTGCAGTGTGACATAAAACAACCGCTTAAAGATTAGTATGGAATACAACTAAAGACCATCTTGATTATGTCACCAAACCTCTATGTTTTGCTTCATGTCTGAGAGAAACTATTATTTTAAAAGTTTTATTTGATAATGGAAATGAATTATTTACAAATCAATTTTTTGAAATAGTTTTTCCTTTCCAACAGCAAGAAACTTGTGTCCATTGGGAGTAGACTCATTATGGTGATAACCATCTAGAAAATAAAAATATTAAAACATTGTTTGATAACAGATTTAATAAAGAGAAAACAAGTATTTGTCATAGAATAATTAATTGGTAAAGAGTCAGTGATTTTTTGTTGGGATTGTTTCTATCATGAGTTAGATAAAAGCATGAATTTTTAGTTTTTTTTGTCACCTGATCCATGCTATCAAGGCTATAAATTGTGTCAAAATTTAAAGAAGCATTCTGTTTTTTTTTTTTCGTAGGTTCAAATTTATGAAAGTTATACACTGAAATCTTATTATTCCATAATCTGAATGGTTTATTTAAAAAATCCTGCAGGTTACTTTTTCATGATAAAACTATTTGAAATGCAAATCAATTCTAATAATAACATTTAGCTTTTAGAATGACGCTCTGTATTATTTAACCTAAGTCAAAATATAATTCCTATTTTAGTTCTGACATTTTTTGAAATGACATGATTTGAAATTCTATCTGGCTTTAAAAAACCCTCAGCAAATTGTTATTGCTAAGAAAATAATAGTTGCTGTGATACAAGACATTTCCCGTTTCCTGGTTACAAAATTATGTAAGGTTTATGTTTCACCAACATATTATTTGTCAAACAATGGACCAAATTGGCGCTGGAAGTGTTGAAAGTTTAATATCAGTTGAAATGGTTAGATAGATGGCTGTATTAAAGGTTATAATTGAGCTTCAAGGTTGTTGTAACAATTGGAACTTTCTCGGCTCATCTTATTGATTACTATAGTAGAATGATTCTTCCAGTGGAAGTTCAATTTGATGTAACACATGTTCAAAGAAGTATTGAAAAGCTTTCTGGTACAAAAACTAACTTATTTTGAATTTACAATAAGATAATAAAATTATCATTCTTTCAACAGTTTAAGAAAATGTGATGGAAATATAAGTTAATTATAAAATTGGAATAAAATTTGCTAACAAAAGCTGACTACAGAACATATCCTTGATAATAAGGGCAAGCAATTTAATTTACTAACAACATGAAGATGCATTCTGTAAGGACGCCCTACCTGATAATGTAGATTTTCAATGCTGACATTGAGTATCAACAATATTACTGACATGGCTTGACTACATGGTCAAAACTGATAATTAATTAAGTATAGATACCATGGGTCATGCAAGTTATGATTTTTGTTTTTTAAAAAAAAAAAAATGGAGCTTCAGCCATGCAATAACATCAAAATGAACTGGTTGTAGTATACCTAAGCTCCACCTACTTTACTCTAAGGTTCTAGTTTTACAAAGTAAGCTGAAGCTTATTAATACAGTTCTCAGAAATGCTGCAATGAAATATATCATAGTATTATTTTGAAACAAATGTTACTGAACATGTATTTTAGTGAAAGGTTTATAAAGAGTGAGAATTAGATATTGAAAAAAACTATTAAATATTTAAACTTGTAAACCTTATTACAGCCTATCTATTAGAGATTTAGATCTGATTATACTAATAGGTAGTGAATATGGTTATATTCTGCTGGGAATAATAATTTTAACTTGTATTCAATTTCAAATAATTAGATTATACAGCAAGGAACAATTTGGCTATAACTTGGCTGGAATATTCATTGGCATCAATTGAAAATTTCTTCCTTATAACACTTTCTGATCTTTTTGGAATCAAGAATGCTTCAATTCATTTGTTCTGTCTTTTCGTTTTTGTTTTTTATACGCCCACATGATATGGGGGGCGTATATTGCCGTCACCCATGTCCGTCCGTCGGTCCATCCACAATTGCTCGTAAACGCGCTACAAGACACAATTCTAGTCGGATTTTGACAAAACTTGGTAAGAGTGTTCGTGATCACCTAAGGATGAACCCTATTGAAAATCAGAAGAATCGAAAAATATTTAGTATAAGTTATTGCCCTTGTTTTTGAAAACGCGTTCAATTTTTAGCTCGTAAACACTCTAGAAGGGACAATTCTTGACCGATTTTGACTAAACTTGGCATGAGTGTTTGTTATCACCCAAGGAAAAAACCCTATTGAAAATCAGAAAAATCGAAAAATATTTAGTATAAGTTGTTGCCCTTGCTATTGAAAACACGTTCAATTTTTAGCTAGTAATCATTCTAGAAGGCGCAATGCTTGACGGATTTTGATGCAGCTTGGTGTGAATGTTCGTAATCACCCTAGGATGAACCCTATTGAAAATCAGAAGAATAGAAAAATATTTAGTATGAGTTATTGCCCTTATTCTTGAAAATGCTTTCAAATTTAGCTCTTAAACACTAAAAGGCATGATTCTTGTTAGATTTTGACAAAACTTGGTTTTATTATTCAGTCCCGCGCTGATGATTGAATATTTGCCATCAAGAGTTTTCATGAGCTAAAAATTGAACACGTTTTCAAGAACAAGGGCGAAAACTCATACTCAATATTATTCAGTATCGCCTTAAAGAGTTCAACAGAAGTGTATGACTGAAGGTTGAATATTTGATACTGGTGATTGTTACTGTACTGCTAAATATTTATTATTCAAAATCAAAGCTGCGTATATTACCTTACCTGACAAGCTATCTTTATACTATATTTGGAAGTATTAAGTATGCAAAGTGATTTGGAAGTATGAAGAATGTTAAGTATTTTGAAAGTATTAAGAAGGTTCAGCAATTTGAAGATATTTAGAATACTAAGTAATTTGAAAGTATTAAGAATGTTAAGTAATTTGAAAGTATTAAGAATTCTAAGTTCTGTTACTGTATACATCCATCTGGGAGAAAAACTTGTACTACACACAGACTTTAAAGATCAGTAATGGCATAGAGGAAGGGTTTATCACATAGAGGAAGGGTTTATCACATAGAGGAAGTGTTTCTCACATAGAGGAATGGTTTATCACATAGAGGAAGGTTGTCAGATAGTGAACAAGGAAGTAGAAAAGGCAAAAGGAAATAGTTGTATTGAAGCTATATTCAAGAGAAATGTTTTGTTGTTATTGACTATTGTTATGAAGTTGCATGTAAAACTGTTAATATTAAAATAGATTTCATCAAAGATAATTGTTAAATGTGTAAAATATGTTTATTAGTTTTAAGGATTAAGTTTTCTTTGTGAAATTAATCATTTAGATGAAGTAGTTATCAGGAATCAATATTTGCATATTTCTTTAAACCCACTGAGGGATTAAACCTTTAATACTTTATATGTTGTTAAATCATATCCTTATGAAGTTTAACACCCCTTCACATTGCCATATTAAAGAAAATTAGTTTTGTAATTAAGATATTGGCTCTTGCAGCATAAAAAGTTACCACTTAGCTGATGAAATTAAAGAAGCAGCAAAATCATATATGAACTGCTCTTTACAGTTGTTATGATACTATTCAAACACCAATTTCTTCTATTTCAGATCATTGCCTCAGAACCAGTGAAAATTTCTATGAAGATTCGAGTATTTTGGGAAAGATTGTGGAATATCTGGGATACCATTGCAATTTTATTATTTTCTGTTGGTGTTGTCTTCCGTAATTTTGAGTCTCTACTACAAGCAGCCCATATCATCTATACTGTAGACATAGTGTTTTGGCTGGTCAGAATACTGGAGATACTTAGTGTCAACAAATACCTTGGTCCTTATGTCAAAATCATTGGAAAATTGGTGAGTTCCTGCTTAATCGAAACCATATTGAGAATATTTTTAAATCATTCTTATTGTTGAAAATTTAACTAGAGTTATGTCCCTGTCCCTGTCTCTGTCTCTGTCCCTGTAAAGTGTCACATACTAGTGTTAAAACGGTTAGTGAATTTTACGAACAGGGTAATTGTCGGCAATAACCTTAATTACTAAAGATTATAAAAGGAGTCAAAAACCGCATTTGCAGTGGTAACTCACCATTAACTAAACTAGAGTAAGTGTAGATGAGTACCCAGGAAGATTTTGGCTAGTTCCCCGCAATTTGTCAGTACAAACGGATACCAAACAACCCATGTAAGATTACGAGCGGCAGGGTTCAGACGGACTGGCGCCATTGTCGTTCATTGCTACAGTCTTAAACAGAACAAAGGTTTTTACCAGTTGTTGGGTCAGTGTAATGAGTGTATCTCATTGAAGTCACCGCGAATCAGTATACTGGTTCCACAACTGGTATAAAACTATATGAATGTTAATAAGCTTGAAGCTGATTGACAGGCAAGATTATAACTGTTTTATTCTAAGCAACTCGTACCCGATTGAAATAATAAAAATAATAACAAAACTTATTAAAACACTAGAACATGCTTAAAAAACACTGTGTTACATTTCCTCAATACAATAAAAATAATAACAAGATTCAACAAACCGTGGCGCATGCCAAACGTCTGATAATGATTACAGTGCTTATTTGTTTAACCTAATTAACATAACAGTGCACACGGCAACTGTCAACAAACTAAGACCATCGTGACGCGAATAAGCAGAACAAGTGATTAGTTGAACTTATATCAAAAATAAGAGGTTAATAATCTTGCCCACAATTGATAACCTATCTTGATTTATTAATCTCAATTATTCAATCAATAAAAATGTTTATTTACTAAAGAAAACAGCTTAAGGACTCATACAGTGACAAATTTTCTGTCAAAATTTCTCTCTTTTTACTTCTTATAAAATTGACAGTTAACCGATTATCTCAAATCAGACGCGGTTACCCGTGAATTACTCCCTGAAATCAGTTAACTGATTAACCGTTTCAACACTATCATGTACACAACATGTGATAGACGTGTATACTTTGAAGGGCCAATGAATGTTTATAATTTTTCATTTTATTTCACTATCGTAGCATAGTAATAATATCATTCCTTAGAATTAGAATTCACTAACTTATAAACATAAAGTACTGTGCCGTATCTTCGTAGCCATAATGTTTGATGCGTTCAGTAGCCATGATGGAATTCGGGTATTACTGAACGAAGAATTGAATTCAAGTATTACTGAATGAAAGATAGATTGCACGTGATCATTAAATTAACCGTATATTCACAAATAACGATTTATTAAACACCGATCAACGAGGCATCTTGAATAATACTTATCGGGAAGCCAGTTTCGCTGATTTATAAACACAAATGTCCGCGCTGTAACTTCGTAAGGCTAACGTTTGATGCGTTCCATATCAATAATAGAATTTAGGTCTGACTGAATGAAAGATGACACTGAAATATAACTTATAATCTTATAATATATGTATATATATCATCAATTCCAATCACATCCATGTCAAACTAAAATAGCTGACAGATTTGATTACTCTATTATTTATTGTCAAGATTTAGTTACTGTTCTGAGATTTCACAAACTAGCACTTTGAAACAACCTGTCACAAAATATAGGAATTAATAAGGTTTCAGACATGAAATGCAACCAGTCTGAATTAAAGTTATTTAGTGTAGAGTAATAAATTGGTCTACATGAGACTGCAATATTAAAAGCTATTCACTCATCATGTAAACACATCCCAAGAGTATTCTGTCATTTATTCAAAATCATTGTCGTGCTGTTTATTCAAATAATGAAGATTCAGATTGATTTAATGATGAATTCAACTCGCTCATGTACATATTATTGTTAAAGGGACAAGTGCACAGTTTTGGATTTTAATTTGAGTCTTGAAAATATGTAAATAGTCTTCAGCAGTACTAGAAATGTACAAAAATAGCATAGTTCCTTCAAAAATATTTCAATCTAGGAATTTCTCTTCCTATTTCTATAGATATCTTTTATATATATTATTATGGCAGTGTTTCAAGAAAAACATTCATACGTGAATAATTTTAGACACACATATTGATTTGAAGACTAAAATTTTGACAGTGAAATAATCATTCTTGTTTCTGGGACTAAGGTATGATTGGTCAAAAAAATGTTGCAGCTGTCCCTTTAAATGCTTTCTTTCTACATGAAGGGCACTATTTCCTATAAACAAAGATCCCTTATGGGTTTAATAATATTATCCAGAACAATAACACCTGTTTTTTTTTTAATTTCAGATAGTGGATATGGCATATTTTTTGGTGATATTATTTATTGTGGTGACAAGTTTTGGTATTGTTCGCCAGGCAGTCCATTTTCAGGCAGAACCTGTTGACTGGCATTATACATTAAGGAATATCTGGTTTTATCCATATTGGATGATATATGGAGAATTGTTTGCTGATGAGATTGATCGTAAGTTAAGACTTGATTAACAAGTTTTTTAATCAGACATTGTTCTGTCTTTTATTATCTCATTGTTTCAATCAGGTTTCATATCTTGTTAATTATATGAACAACATGACACATTGGTTTGTTGATTATGAAGAATTTGGACTATCTAGATTTCTCTGCATTTTGGCATGATTTCTGTCAATGGTCCTGATTAAAAGGTTAAATTCTAATCTAATATACCTATACAAGCTTTCATCATTTGTGAATCTGAATAAATTAATGTCCATGCAACTTTGTTTTTTAATGAAAGTTTTTTTCAAATCCAAAAAATAGTGTTAATTCAAATTTATTTTCAAACAATTTTTTTTCCAATATAACCAAAAACCAATTCCATTCAATTTTATTTCTCAATGAAGCCTTTTTCTATCCAATCAAATGAATTTTGAGAAAGGATTACAGGCAGGTGTTATTGATGAAAGTTATTGTTGTCCTACTACCAGAAATTAAAACTAGAACTCAAGAAATATTTTTATACTATAAACTTAATAAGATTTTTTTAAGAGGTAGTAATATTTCTTTATAATTTATTATAATTATTTCTTTATATATTTCTTTAGATCATGTTCTAAGAATTATGATATTTCAATTCAATACAATGATTTATCATTTGAAAATTCCATAAAAAAGAGTGAAGAAATCAATAATTGAAGTTTTTGATTATCTTCTTTAAAAAAAAAAATAATGAATTGATAAGATTGTAGTGTGTAGGTGTTGTGAACTCATTAACCTGATATGACTTGAATTATTGATGCTGTATCAGAAAAACAAAATCTAAAATTATCAAAGATATATGGAAAACAGACTTGAACAGTTTCATTTTGGTTGCATTTATCTACCATCATGATAAAGATGGAGGGCCACTTTCTCCAAATTTTCATGTTAGAAAGTGCCAAATTCTATATAAGATCAACATTTTTGTAAGTTCTTGTCCTTGATAAGTGTCCATAAGATGAGATGAAGGGATTCTTTGACCTAAACAATTGTACCACAGTTAAAACAATCTCCATTAGTAGTAGTAATCTTAATTATTGTTATATTTTTACGAAACTATTTCTCTCTTTCTGTAGCATGTGATGAACCTGATAAGTGTGTATATGCAGCCTGGGTAGCACCAGCTCTGATGTTTTTATTTTTATTGGTGGCTAATATTCTCATGGTCAATCTTCTGATTGCCAGATTCAAGTAAGTATTGTTTTAAATAAATTAACCCAATTTCTGCTCGATAGTCTGTCTTTATCTCATAGTCTGGGTTAAGAAAAGACCCATAATTTTCTTATTGTGGGACTTTGCTTTTAGCAAAGTCCCAGTTTGTTATCGAAATGTCCATTCTTTTTTTTTTTTTTTTTTTTTTTTTTTTTCGTTTCGTCCACACCTTCCCGAGCTTAGACTGCAGTAGTTGTAGTAACGTTTCGAATTTCATAGACCTTCTATATAGGTGACGATGTGCATAAATATAAATTGGAACATTTTTGCAAAACCGGAAGTGCCACAGTTCAACATGTGCAAAAAGTCGAAAATCGGCTCTAGAAGGCGCATTTTTACATCGATTTTCTTCGGGTTTTCATTTTTACAATCTACCTGTAATTTCTGACCTGATAGCACTTGAAAAATTACGAAATTCGAAAATTCGTCGCTCACTTTTTTCGATCAAATTTTTCGATTTTTTTGCAACTTTTTTGCTTTTGCATCGATTGATCTGAAATTTTAAATGCAAAGAGACTTCACTAATGTTAATAATATGATACAGTCAAATTTTGTACGTCATTTCCGATTTTCAACAGGAAAGCGACTGAACTTCAAATCTACTTCCGGTTGAATAACTTCCGGTGTAATTTATGTAGGTCAACAAAATTTGGCTGATCTTTGGCAAATAAAATTTTATGGCCGATTTTAAAATAAAATCCAG